CCTGAAGTAGTAGCGAGCTAATGCGAATGTCACGGAGAGGCATCTACAGCAATAGCTGCATTGGATAGAGTATATTTTCATCAAAATTAAAACCTTACTATTAATTTTTTGTAAAATTAATCTCTTTCTTTCAATTCTTCGTGTTCCAAAAAATGAAGAAAGTCATCGAGAGGATATTTCCAGGAAGCTGCACACTACATGCCATTCAATTATGAATGAGTATGCACTGTCATCATAAAAAAACAATGTTTGGTTATACTAACAACTTAAATAATGCAATGATAATATTTTTTCATTGAAAGTAAAAAAATTTTATTTTAAGTTGTTTGACATGTGGATGGGGTGAGATAAAAGATTAAAAAAAAAATGAAAGATGGTTACTTCTTGTTATGCAATTAACATAATAACAACTTAAATAACCCAATAATAATATCTTTTCATTAAAAGTAAAAAATTTTGATTTCGAGTCGTTTGACATGTGGATGAGGTGAGATAAAAAATTAAAAAAGAGATGAAAGATGGTTGCTTCCTGTTATGCAACCAACATAAAAAAAACAATGTTTGACCATTTAAAACAGTAAAAATTAAAAATTAAAATATAAATAAAAGATGCATACAGATGCTTAAACAAGTTTAAACATTTCTACTAAAGGGATGATTTACATCCGAATAAAAGCTTGGATCTTCTCCCATAGACGACTTGTCCTGCTTGTTCTTCTTGCAAGTAAAGCCTTGAGGAGATACTTTCACACCTTATCATACTTTTGCCAAAATATGGCTGAAAACGAATTGCTAAGTTGCCTTTAGGATTAAGGTTTTCTGCATTTTGATACCGAGTAAAGTTGGGTTACGACTTACGAGGCATGCATTTTGAAATTTCTAAAACACATCAGTTTTATCCATAATTCTGTTTTTTATTCATTAAGATCGTTCACCACAATTTTATTTATAATAAAAATTTCTTAACTACGAAAATAAGTATATATATATATTTAAACTCGTAATATTATCACATAAATATTATAAAATAATATTATAATTATGAGTGCGTGTGGGATTGCTATAAAATAATGTAACTATAATTGTAATTATAATTATAACTGAAAGTTATTTAGGTGTTTAATTATTTATTTTTTAAAAATATTATAAATAAAATATGATAAATTTTATTAATTATTAATTAAAATTTAAAAAATATTATATCATGAATAATTACTAAAATAGATAGCATTCACCATTTTTTAATAATTGATGTTTTCTAAGTTTCTTATAATGATTTTTTTTATTATTATTTTGTGGAAGAGTAACTTATAAGGAGAGAATGAATTTTTAATTTTTTATGAAATTTTTAAATAAACAAGTGGTTAAGTTTAAATTAAATATTATAAATTATGATGTAATTGAATCAAATGAAGTTAGACTTTAATGGGTAATTTGATAATTATATTAAATATTAAATGTTGTGTATAAAAGTCATAACTAAAAGGTTTCAAAATGAGATTTCAAATTTTATATATAAATTGTTGTAGACTTGTTATAATTTTTAGAAAAAATATGTTAAAAAAATTACTAAACATATATATCTAAAAATATTATATGATTATACGAGAAAACTCCTAACTACAATCTTAATCACACCTTATGTCAATTTTATTTATTATTATTATTTAATGTAATGTAGTGATTTTTTTTACTTTCATGCACTATTGTTTCTCTTACATATTTTTCTTCCCTGCCTCGGATTCCTTTCTCTTGTGCAAATACCATAGCCCCGCCTGTTTTCAAAATGTTAATGGAATTGCCTGGCTTTCAAGTTCAACTTCATTCAAGCAAGGCTAAGCAGGAAAAACAATAAAATAAGAATTAATTTTTAATTTATTAATTGTTT